TTTATTGTATGCTTTGGCGATAAAGCCGTACAAAGCAGTGCTATAGCATTGATAATGAGATTTCCTAATAATGTTAGCGTTATATTAGAGGTTATCATCGCTCAGGAATTTTCTCTTCTTGTTTGTATTCATATATGGCTTAAGAATCCATTCAGAATCGGCTGCGTTCGCGATATCAATGGTTCCCAACTTTATTTCATACAATTTCATCTCAAATCGAGGCCCGACTTCGGACAGCTCTACCTTTCCCTCCACTTTCTTATAGACGTGATGTCTGAATGATATGAAGTCGTCCTGATTTGCAAACGTAACGACACGTTTCGATTCCTCTTTAGGCACAGGAAATAAATACTTCAATATATTCATCACTCGTCGGCCCAAACGTGACTTTAGGTTATGGAAAATGAGGTGCGGATAGGCCTCAGACATGGTTCCCATGTTTGGTATGTCGTGTCTCATAACGGTATTCATTAACTGAAAATAAGCGGTCGGTCCGTACGGCAGATGGCATATAACCAGACCGTCGGGCTCTCCTCTCGTCTCGTGGATTGTAATAAAATCTGTCACATCATTGGCTCGACAAGAGTTGATCAGTTGTTTGAGCTCATAGTTGCCTCGATTCAGGCGCTGGGAGTTCGGGAAAAGTAGTTTCATTTCCTGCAATGCGTCCCAAAACACAACACAATTAGACAATTGAATCAACGCTTAGTATAAAGGAGTCAAACCTTAGCAAACATTTTGAGCCGCGAAGACGGGTCTCTGGATGTGGTGATCACAATCTTCGGGTCCTCAACGCCGGCCCACCGGTACTCGTCGTCCTCATGACTGGTGACCAGTTCTGACGCCTCGTCGTCCCATTCGAGCACTGATTGCAAACTGAGAGCTCCTTTCTTCAGCTCTGTTGGGATCGCCTTATTCTCTGCGAAACACAAATTCAATCATTAGTTCATCTGTCATGTGATGGCCAGACAGGTGTCTGACATACCATCGAGTGATTGTTTGATCTGCTCTTTCCTCTCAGTCACCACTCGTTTCTGTTCTTCTAATGCTTTTCGATACAAATACTCCCTTCGGATCCGCTGTTGTCTTCGGATCTAATAAAATGGTTGCAAACATTCATTTCAATCAATCATAAACTAAATTAAACAAAACAATAATAAATGTTAACAAATGATACCATTATTTCAATGAATATATCCTTCAAATGATTGCCAATAAATATAAATCAAAAACAATTTCTACACAAAAATGTCTATATTTTGTATGAATTCACAAAAAGTATTGTTTTCTCATTCAATAGAAACACTGAAAACACATTTAATTGATTCAATGCCAGGCATTGAGACCACTGTTTATGGCATTAAAACACAGATATATCGTTCAAATTGAGTTCAAAATCAGAAAAATTAAATCACTTTTTGTAAACTAATTATAACAACGAGTCATACAATGAAATTAAAAGTTTAGTTCAGTGTTTGGTTTTGACGGACAAAAACGTGGTTTTATTAAATCACATGAAAAAATACAATATTGTGCTAAACATAGTGTGGCTATGAATGACGTCCGCATTTGTTGGACGTATTATTGGTGTTCAATACACACGTTATGCACAGCAAAAGCGCCACTAAAATAAGCCCTTTTGGACCCTAAATATGACTCTCTATTCATGAATATTCTTGTGTCCAAATTCTACATACATTTATTCATTAAATTTTAATTTTGTTTCGCTATTCCCGTGAATTCAATGTTAAAACTAGTCAAAGGGTTGCTTACAAGCGGTGAAGTGTACAGTAAAGTAAGTTTTGTTCACTTTTTTTTAATACTTTAAACAGTAATAGTTTTTCTTATAAGAATCGTGTGAAGTGTTAGTGAAATATTAGGTCACTCTATGGGCGCTACATTCGTCGTGCTATACATTGACTGTAAAGCACAGAATCGATGCATTTTCTCTGTAGTAGTGAATAGGGAATCGCTTATAGCGTTAGGAATACTACTGTTTAGTATAGAAATTCATACGGAAGTTGTGGTTACGATTGTCCGACAGGTTTTCTGCAATTATTAGAGTTACATAACCGCAAACATACACCACTCCTTTGGCACATAATTAACATCTATGTTATTACATGTGTTGTTGTCTTAATGACTCACATGATTCCTACTTTTTATCATTTATTAACTATTATTACAATC